ATATATATATATATATATATATATATATATATATATATATATATATATATATATATGTATATATATACATATATATATATTATATATATATATATATATATATATATATATATATATATATATATATATATATATATATATATATATATATATATATATATATATATATATATATATATATATATATATATATTATATATATATATATATATATATATATATATATATATATATATATATATATATATATATATATATATATATATATATATATATATATATATATATATATATATATATATATATATATATAATATATATATATATATATATATATATATATATATATATATATATATATATATATATATATACGTATAGACACATACATATACACGTCCTTGCACTAATGATATGAATTGTAAAGCTAAGGCCTAGGATGGAGAAAGGGATAAAAGGAAAGATGGGAGGAGGGAGGAGAATAGAAAGGAGGGAGGGGGAGGGGAGGGAAGGGAGGGTAGATATATAGTTACCAAAGAGAGGCGGCAGAAAGGAGTACAGGGAAGATAGAGAGAGAAACGGAAGGGAATAAGGCAAGGGAAAACAGACAAAAAGGATGTATATGGCTAAGGCTCCCGTATGGCCCTCGCAGCCCCCTCTCCGCTGCCCTCCGACGTGTGCGTGCGTGCGTGTGTGTGAGTGTGTGTGCGTGTGTGTGTGTGTGTGTGTGTGTGTGTGTGTGTGTGTGTGTGTGTGTGTGTGTGTGTGTGTGTGTGTGTGTGTGTGTGTGTGTGTGTGTGTGTGACGGCCTAACACTCCCCGGGTGACGCAACTCGCCAGGGTTGTCGCCCCGAGAGCCGCCCGCCGCCGTCCCCGCCCGTTGCGCAAGGGACGCCGCTTGTTTGTTTATGTCCCCGTGTTTGTTGGTCCCTGTCGCGCCCCCTTCCCTTTTTTTCGTGTGTGTGTGGGGGGGGGTCGTGGGTGGATGTGTGTGTGTTTCGGGGAAGTGGAATTTTCTAATTATTCTGATTTTGCTCTTTGACAGGGTAGAGAAGAGCCGGAAGGGCTCTACTCTGCTCTTTGCTGGGGCACGTTTGGTACAGGGTGGGATGGCATGGCTAGCGTGCAGCCTGAGCCCCCTCTAAGCCCTGCCGTGTACTGGGGCTGTGGGTGCGTTGGGTGTGGGGGTTGGATGGGTGAGGGTTGGGGGGGGGGGATTTGTCCGTCATGCTGGTATGTTACCTTCGGGCCTTCGAGGACATACCTTGGTTCACACTGGTTCGTCTTTTTTTTTCTCTCACTCACTGTCTTTCTCATTCTCGTTTTCTTAGTCTGTCGCTTCTCTTACTCTCTCTCTCTTCATTTCTCTCTCTCTCTTATGCTCCTCTCTCCTCTCTCTCTCTCTCATCTCTCTCTCTCTCTCTCTCTCTCTCTCTCTCTCTCTCTCTCTCTCTCTCTCTCTCTCTCTCTCCTCTCTCTCCTCTCTCTCTCTCTCTCTCTCTCTCTCTCTCTCTCTCTCTCTCTCTCTCTCTCTCTCTCTCTCTCTTTTCTCTCTCTCTCTCTTTCTCTCTCCTTCTCCTCTTTCTTCTCTCTCTTTCTCTCTCTCTCTCTCTCTCCTCTCTCTCTCTCTCTCTCTCTCTCTCTCTCTCTCTCTCTCTCTCTCTCTCTCTCTCTCTCTCTCTCTCTCTCTCTCTCTCTCTCTCTCTCTCTTCTCTTTCACGAAGGGAGGGAGTGGGAAGAACCCTTCCTCCTACCTCCCTCCTCCCCTCTCCTCCTCCTCCCCCCCCCCTCCCCCTCTCCATGAACATACACGGTCTGATTCATCTCATCTCATTCGGCGTTGCTTAATCAATCCTTTTTTCTTCTTCTTTTTTTTCATATATTCATGGCCTTTGCTCACGTCCCTGTCACACCCACATTCTTATTCTCATCTTCACCTCACCTTTATCCTTTCTTCCCTTGCGCTCTCTCTCTCTCTGTGTTCTCGTTCTCGCTTCACCTTGACACTTACCCTCACCCTCGTCGCGCAGATGCACTCTTCTTTGCCTTGTTTCTTGCTTGATGTCGAGCGCCCTTTTGTGTTAATGTCTGGTCGCCTCTATGTAAATTTTAGATTTTTTTTTTTTTTAGGTTTTTGTGTCTGCATTACGTGTCTTACTCTCATAGGCACAAGCATAAGCACGGACGGACGCATGCACGCACTCATCACACACACACACACACTCAACTCACTCACTCACTCACTCACTCACTCGCGTGCTTTGAATATTGGCTCAAGTGGACTGGGTAATGATACCTGCTGAACCTGGCGTGACCTTGTCAGAAGGGAACACCTGCTCGCGGAAACCTCCTGTCGGGCTGGGCAGTGCCTGGGGGGGAGGGAGAAGGGGAAGGGGGAAGAGGAGGAGGAGGAGGGGATGGAGAAGGTGGAAGAGCAGGGGAGGAGGGGAGGGAGAAAGGGGAAGAGGAGGAGGAGGAGGAGGAGGGGAGGGAGATGGGGGAAGGGGGGAGAAGGGGGAGGTGTAAGGTGAGGAGAGGGGTGAGGAGAGGAGGAGAAAGAAGGGTGGGGAAGGGGGCGAGGAAAGGGGCGTGGAGAAGGTGAGGTATGGAGAGGGGAGGCATCAAGACCATTTACACTTGATGTTTTGAGGAGAGGTAAGGGGGAGGAGGGGGAGTATAGGAGGATTGAGAGGACGAAAAAAGAAAGAGGAAAACGAAGAAGAGGAGTTAGAACAGGTGCAGAAGCAGGAACAAGAGAATAACGATATGGATGAGGATGATGGTGAGAAGGAGAAGGACACGAGGAGGAAGAAGGAGAGGAGAAAAAATAGGGAGAGAAAAGGAAGTGGGAATGAAGGAGAAGGCGGAGACGAAGCATAAACAACCAATGGGCAAAGCTGCGGAATGAAAGTGCAGAACATTTGAAGATGATGAAATAGGGAAAAAATAAAGATAAGAGAAGGAGAGGCACAAAAAAGGGAGGAAAAGAGAGTGAAAGAAAAAGAGGAAATCGAAACGACATGAAAGAAAAGAGAGAGAAAAAACATAAAATTACTCGTCCCTTTTCTTTTCCGTTGACCTGTGTTGTTTTATTTACACAATGGCGGAAAGGGCGCGGGGCTTCGGTCAGGGGTCGCGGTACCTATTTACTCTCAGCTGTACGTAATGAACACACTCTTTGACGAATGGCCGCGACCCTCGGCGGGGGAAGCAGCCAGCCAGCCGACACCTATACCGGAGATCGTAAACAGAAAACATATTCCGTGGGAGTGACGATAATGCGATGATGGATGGAGAGAGGAAGAGCGATTAGTGCCTTTTATTCGCAGCGGAGGATTAGGTGGAAAAAGGGAAACGATTAGTCGCCGTCTTGACGTGTCTCGGCGGCGAGCGAAGGCGGCGGAGGACAGGATGCGGGGCGGGCTCGCTCCCCAACGAGCCGTGACGAAAGGCGGTGGGAACCAGCGGCGCTTGCTCCTCGGCGGCGGGGGTGGGGAGATGTGCACACGCTGCTCATACCCACACGCACACTGATACGCACAAACACACGCATATGAACACATACGCATACGCGCAGACAAACACAGACACGCACACACACACACACACACACACACACACACACACGCACACGCACACACGCACACGCACACACGCACACACGCACACACACACACACACAGAGAGAAGAGGAGGAGGAGAAGAGAGGAAAGAGGAGAGAAGGAGAGGAGAGGAGAGGAGAGAGGAGAAGGAGAGGGGGAGAAGAGAGAGGAGAAAGAAGAAAGAAGTGTTATAAAAAGTATGATAAGACGATAGTATTTCAGCATGAGGTCAGATGCCCATCTTCATTTCACAGACGACACAGTAAACAACAGAAATGAAAAATGACGAAAGCTCCTCGAGAGGCCTATATGGCTTACGACGGCGAAGGAGTCTCAAAAGACATTTATCCCTCGCCGTGAAACAAGACCCGCTGTGTTTACCCCGTAGCTCCCCGGGTCTCATGTGTCGAGGAGTAAACGGATTTTTATTTACGGCCGCTGTTTTTTGCCGAGTAACCATGAGGGCGTCTTGAGTGTGTTTGTGTGTTCCTTGCGATGAAGACGAAGGCTGTTGGGCCAGTTGTCTTGGGAAAACACATCACGGGACGCTGCGTTGGCTGGCGGCCGTGAATTCGCGGTTCGTAGCTGCGAGTGGATGGAAGAAGGGTGGGAGGGAGGAAGAGGAGGATGAAAGGAGAGTGGTGGGAGGTAGAAAAGGAGGAGAAAGAGAGGAGGGAGGGAGGGAGGAGGGAGGGAGGGAGAAGGGAGTAAGAAAGGAGGGAGGAGGGATGGGAAAGAATGGAGAGGGAGGGATGGGGTGAGAGGAAGGGAGGGAAGAAGGGTGGAGGGAGGAAGAAAGATGGGAAGGAAAGAGGAGGGAGGGAAGGAAGTAGGGAGAGAATGAGAGGGAAGAAGGATAGAGAATGCGGATATATGTACTTCGTATATTGTAATTAGTGTAAAGAAAGAGAAGGAATGTGGATGTTTGTACTTTGTATGATGTTGTATTAAGTGAAAGAAGGATAGGCCATGTTTGTACTTTGTCTTAATTCATGATGGCGGGGGTGGAAGACAAAGAGAAAGTTGAAAGGGATGTGCGAAGTAAAAGGTACTGTAAAAGACAACATAGGGGTTGAGAATAGGAGAGAGTGTGGTCCTTTGTACTTTGAATGTTTTCCAATAAGCGAAAGAAGGATAGGGAGTGTGACTTGATCGACGGGGAGGGGAAGCTGAGAAATTGTTGAAAGGGTCGTGTGGATGTACGGAGTAAAAGAGGCAATAAAGATGACATAGAAAGAACGATAGGGAACGCGGATATTAGTTCTTTGTATGTTTTTGTAACACGTGAAAAAAAAGAAGAAATGTGGTTATGTATGCTTCGCATATCGTTGTAAAGAGAGTATAGTAAAAAGTAAAGGAAATGTGGATATTCATACATGCCTATGTGTGTTTTGTGTTCTATGGAATACGTTCTTGATATCTGAAGATTGAAATCAGACCGTTGCAGCAAGATGCAAATCCGAAAAATGAATAATTAAGTAATGTAAATAATCTTTTTATGATTGAATAAGGTAAATAAGTTTATGTAACTAAATAAATAGTCATATGCAAAGGGATGGCTGAGGTCAAATAAAGTTTCTAACTGGAAAAGAGAAAAATTAATGTTTATCCCTTCATCCTTTGGTAAGACACGAACGGCGAGACTTTCCGAGGAAAATTGAGACTCGTACAGGAACAAAGTACGCATTGTTACCAGACGTGACCTAAGGCTTCCACCGTAGCTGTATTTTGAATTTTTTTGTAATCTGGAAATGATGTAACTTCAGTATTATGCAAAAGTGATGTTGCTTTTTTTTTTCTTATTGATTTATCTGACCGAGATCTTGATCGTCACAAACTGATTATGCGGAGTTCATGCTGGTAATGGTATCGATACTTGCAGATGTTTTTTCTGTATTTTCTGTATAGGCAGGCAGGCAGGAAGCATTCAGGCAGGCAGGGAGGCATGCATATATACATGCTATACATACATACATACTTGTACATAAGTACCCGTATATCTGTTAGTCTATCTATATTCCTGTCTGATTATCTATATGTTTATCAGCTTATTCATCTATATATCCATATGTCTGTCTATAGATATATAAATATATATATATATATATATATATATTATAATATATATATATATATATATATATATATATATATATATATATATATATATATATATATATATATATATATATATATATATATATATATATATATATATATATATATATATATATATATATATATATATATATATATATATATAATATATATATATATTATAATATAGTATATATATATATATATATATGTATATATATGTATATATATATATATATATATAATATATATATATATCTATATATATCTATATATCTATCTATCTATCTATCTATCTATCTATCTATCTATCTATCTATCTATATCTATCTATCTATCTATATCTATATATATATATATATATATATATACATATATACACATACATATATTTACACACACACACACAGATATGGATATGATACGTTGAATTTGTATATACACACAGCACATACATACATACATACAATATTTAAATCAAATCAATATTTAAAAAGATCTTTCCTCGTGTATTGCATTTTTGAATCGACTTTTCCCAAAGCCTAATGAGTTCGATTCGTAGTCATCCCTTTACGAGCTGTGATGACGCAAGAATCCCCCCTCCCCTCCTTCCTCCCTTCTTCCTTTCTTCCCACCCTCCTTCCCTTTCCTCCCTGCTCCTTCCTCCCTCATCTCCATCCCTCCTCCTTCCTCCTTCATCTCCTCCCTTCCCTCGGACGGGCTGCGTCGTAAGGCAGGAGGAGCTGGGTGCTGGGTCATGCCTGTATGCCACCCCCATTAAAGCATTGGTCCACTTGATACGATTATTACGGGGTGGTGAAGTCCATCTGTGTTTTATCGTTGTTGTTTTTTTCTTAAGACGTGGGATTGTTATTGGTTTGTTATTGGTGATGATGGTGGCGTTTCTGCTGTTGTTGTTGTTGCTGAAATCACGGTTATCGTTGTGATGTGTTAGTAATCGTCATGTTTATTTTGATCATCGCCATTATCATCACATTCACCGTTATCGCTGCTGTTATCATTATCGTTATCACTGTCTTTGAAATTATTATTATTGTCTTTGTTTTTCCATTGCGATTCTCATAATTATGAGTATTATAGCCGTTATCATTATCGCCATCAGCGTCATTAAAATTTTTGCTATTATTATTATTATCATCACCATCTTCATCTTGACTAGTTTTTCTTTTTTTTAAGAGGAAAAGCTAGTAAAGATGAAGCCGCTTGATGTCCAGTTTTGATCAGCCCCATTGAGAGAGATCTCTTGCGTCATCATGTCAGTATAAGGCATTTTGAATTGATTAATGTTTTTTATGCATGCGTGTTTATGCATGTTTGCCATTTTGCCTCTGAGTATGCATAAGTGCTCATGCATATATCATTGAAAGGTGTTTATGATATTCATGATTGTTTTATTATGAATTTTACATATTGTAAGTTATGATGCATAATGTGATAAACATAGTGTATCCTCCAATGCTTATATGTATTGTGAATGTTTATATAAGTGTATATATATATATATATATATATATATATATATATATATATATATATATATATATATATATATAAATATATAAATATATAAATATATAATATATATATATATAAATATATTATAAATATATATAAAATATATATATATATATATATATATATATATATATATATATATATATATATATATATATATATGTATTTATATTTATATATATAATTTCTTTGGAGACACTCCAGGGCGCACCTGAGAAATCCGACGTCTCGTGCCATCAAATTGTATTATCGCGTCACTTCCTGCGTCCCAGAGCCTTTATTTCCGTTTAGCTCTTGTGTTGTGTATTTCTGCGCGCGATATTTTTGCGCCCCCCCCCTTCCCCCTTTTGGGTTCTTCCTTCTNCACTCCCGCTTCCCTCTCTCTCTCTCTCCCTCTCTCTTCTCCTCTACCCCCCTCTTGGTGGCTCCGATCCTGTCTACCGCCCATTTTCGTATCTCGCTTTTCCACCTTTGTCTCGTTTCTTGTTCTTCCTTTTTCTCGGTCTTTCCTCTCTCTCCCCTTTTCTCTCTTGTCCCTTCCATCCCTTCCCCTCCCCCTAAGTGGCCCTCCCTACCGTTCCCTTTCACTCTCTTCTCTCCTCCCCATTTTCTCTCATTTTCTGTTCTCCCCTTTCTCTCTCCTTCGCTTCCCCCTTTTCCTCTCTGTTCTTCCTTCCTTTGTCAACCTTTTCCCTCTCTTCACCCTTCTTCCCCATCCCCTTTATCCCTCTTATCTGCCCGTCGGCATCATCCTGGCAAGGGTAAGCGGTATTTAGTGTGGTAATAATCTCCTCCTCTTCCCCTTCATTCACCTGCTCTACCCTTCCCTTCCTCCTCTTTCCCTTTCTCCTCTTCATCCCATCCCCTTGCGCGCGCGCGAGCCCTTCCCCTAATGCCGCCTCCACTTTTTCCTTGTAATTCTTGCTCTGGTCTTCCCTTTCTCTTGTGTGCTTTCCTTACACCTTCTCTTTCTACTTCTCGTTTAATCTTCCGCGAATTCACCTTTCCTTCCCTTGTCACTTCCTCATTCCTCTTCTCCTTTCACTCCTCATTCTCTCTTCTCCTTCCCTGCCTCATCTCCTCCTCCCCCTATCCTCTTCACCTGTCCCTCCCCCTGTCCGCCCTCACTCTGTCCCCTCCCCCTCACCCTCCTCATCTGTCCCCTTCCCCCCATTCCATTCCCCTATCCCCTCACCTCAAACCTGCCCCTCCTCTACTCCTGTCCCTCCGCCCTCTACCCCTTACCTATCCCTCCTCGAACCTGTCCCCTCCCCATATCTCCTCCTCACACGTCCCTCCCCTAACCCCTCCTTCCCTCTTTCCCTCACCCCATCCCTTCCCCTTATCCACCTCCCTTCCACCTCCCTGAAGAAGGAGTAGTAACTTTGACTCGTCCAGTGGAGTTAAAAGTGCTTCGAGGTAGTCGGACACTCACTGCTCGCGTCAAGGAACTCACCGGTGTACGCGGTCCTTCCTCACGGGTTCCTCGACATGACCGTAGGACGTCCTCGTCGCTCCAGCAGAGGAGGTCTTGCAGAGGACGGCAGGGGACTGCGTCCTGCGTTCGGCCAGTGTGGAGGAGGAGAGAGAGGTGTGGATGAGGAGGAGGAGGTGAGGAGGAAGGTGGATGAGGCGAGGGGAGAGGGAGAGGTGTGGTGTGTGGTGGAGTGGTGAGGAGGAGAGAGAGTGGTGGTGGTCAGAGGAGGAGGTCGGTGGTGGAGAAGGAGGAGGTGGTGGTTGATGAGGAGGAGTGGTTGTGGTGGAGGAGAGTGATGTGGAGGTAGAGGTGGGAGGGAGAGGAGGAAGTGGTTGTGGTGGAGGAGAAGGAGGTGGAGGAGAGGAGAAAGTGGGGTGAGGAGGAGGCAGGAGTTAGAGCTGAGGGAAAAGGTGTTGTGGTAAAGGAGAGGAGGTGGTTGGTGGAGGTAGATGGTGGTGGTGGTGGAAGGAGAGGTGGTGTTGTGGTGTGGGGAGGAGGGAGAGGTGAGGGAACGAGGATGAGGAGAAAGGAGAGCGAAGAGGGGAGGAAGGTGCTGGTGGTAGAGAGGAGGAAGGTAGTGGAAGAAGAGAAAGAGGAAGGGGAGGACGAAGAGGAGGAGACGGAACGACGAAGAACAAGGAAAAGAGAAGGTCAGGACGAAGAAGATGGCAAAGGAACGAAACGTATACACTCTTCTCAGATGAAAAAATCTGCTGTTCTTAGCGAACTTTCGAAAATTGTATAGGCTCCTACTTAGACTGATGCAATGTGAATCAATTTCCACCCCCCTCCCAGCCTCCCCACCCACCCACGGCAACGCACAAACCCCTCCCCTTCATCCTCCACACCTACCCCAACACACTACCTACACATACAGCACTTATTTCACGCAAGCCCCCTCCCACTTGCTTTCCTCCTCCCCCACCCACACACACACACCGACGGCCACTAACCATAACTAAATGGAAGGTGTGGTCGAGGAGCTTCAGCGCCTCCTTCAGAACTGCCTCCTGCCGAAGGTCCTGGTCGTCGAGTCCCATGTCCCACGTCATCTGGTTCCTGCCGAGGCGCCCCATGTACCTGCAAGGAACACAGCAATGAGAATAATCATTAATGTAATTTATTTTTAATTATTATTATCATTGTTATACTACTACTACTCTATACTAAACTTTTCTACTGTTATATATTATTATTATTATATTATCATTATTATCATTATCCAAATATCATTATCATATCAATCATCTTCATCATCGTCATCAAATCATAAATAGTCATCATCATCACCATCATCATCCCCCATCCCATCACCATCATTATTATCATTATATTCATCATCATCATCATCATCATCACCACCACCATCATCATCATCATCATCATTTCTTTACATTTCTACTGCTGTATTTGTTACACCTTCATCACCATATCATCATAAGCTCATAATAATAGGATAGGACAGTTTTATCATTATTATTATTGATATTGTTGATATGAGGAAAATAAATAACGACATTCTACAAACAAAACTGTTTACTTGTTCTATCTACTAATTTGCGATAGACAATTGACATGAACAGATTATTAAAATTCTCTCTTGCATGTACGAAAACGAACGCAGGAAAGTAAACAGGGAGGGGGAGCTAAGACACCAAAAATGAGAAAAAACAAAGATAAAATTGACAAATAAACCATAATAATAGAAAAAAGGATGATAAAGATAATAGAATAAATAAATAAAATTACATATTGTTCAACTTGAAACGCGAAGAAAACCCGCCCTCCAGTTTCCACAGAAGGTGATCGAACGTCGCGCCGTAGAACTTGTGCAGACGGTAGTAGTGGAACATGGATTCGAACACGGCCGACGGCTCCCGGACGATGGTGATCCAGACGGAGTCGTCGAAGGAGAGCTGGCAAGGGAGGGAAGGGAAGGAGGGGAAGGAGGAGGATGGGAGAGGGGGAGGGGGGACAGGGGGGAATGAGAGAGGGAGGAAGGAGGGAGGGAGAGGGGAATGGAAAGGAGGGGACAGGGAAGGGAGGGGAAGGGGAGGGGAGACAGGGGGAAGATGAGGGGAGGGGGACAGGAAGGGGAAGGGAGGAGGGAGGAGGGAAAGGAGGAGGGAGGGATGAGGGAATGGGGAGAGGGAAGAGGGGAGGGAGGAGAAAGGAGGGGAGGGAGAAAGAGGGGAATGGAAGGAGGGGAGGAGGGACAGGGAGGAGGGAAAGGAGGGGAGGAGGGAAAAGGAGGGAGGGAGTGGAGGGAAGAGGGGAATATGGGGAGAAGGAGGGAGGAAAGGAAGAGAAAGGACAGAGGAGGGGAATGAGTTGGGAAAGAGGAAAGAGGGGAAAGGAGGAGGGGGAGGGAGGGAAGAGGGGAAGGGGAAGGGGAATGGGGAAGGAAGGGAGGGAGGGAAGAAGGGAAGGGGGAGAGGGAGGAAGGAAAGAGGGGAAATGGGGATGGGGAGGGAGGGAGAGGGGAAATGGAGAGGGAGGGGGGAAAGGGAGGAGGGAGGAGGGAGGGAAGAGGGGAAAGGGAAGGAGGGAGGAGGGAGCGGAAGAGAAGAAAAGGAGGGAGGAACGGGAGGGGGGGGAAAGAAAGATAGGAGGTAGGAGGGAGGGAAATGGGGAGAGGGGCAGGGGGGAGGAGAATGAGGAGGAGGGAGGAGGGAAGAAGGGAAATGGGAGAGGAAAAGGAGGAGGGGGGAGGAAAGTGGAGGGAAAAAAAAGGGGGCGGTGGAGGGGAGGAAAATGAGAAACGAGGGAGGAAAAGGGGAAGGAGTAAGAGAGCAGGAAGGGAATGAGGCGGGAAAGAGGGTGAGGAAAAGAGGTAAGAAGAGACAGAGCGAACGAAATAGGGAAAGAGGATGAAGAGAAAAAGGGGGAGGAGGAAGGAGGGAAATGGGGAAAGGAGAGAGGGAAATAGACAAAAGAGGATAGAGGAAATGAGGAGGAGAGATGGTAAAGGAGAAGAAATGTGGAAAGGAGGAGGAGAGAACGAGGTGGAGGGAGTTAGGAAAGGAAAAAGAAGATAAGAGAGATAAATGAGAAGGAACAGGGGGAAAAGATGAGAAAGGGAGAGGAAGAAAGGGGTGGTTAATAAGGAAGAGATGGTGGTGAAAACCGGTGAATAGATGAAGGGAAAAAGGGTGGTGGAGATGGAGAGGAAGAAACGCGAGGAGGGAAAGGA